GCGGAGCATCCATCCCCCCTGGCAGAGGAGAATTCCAGCCGCCGCTTCCAGGTCCGTTCTCCCGCCCCGCTGCTGAGCAGCACGTCGTGAAGCCGGGTCAGCGCTCCTGAATCCTCTGCTCCCTCCATCAGGACCAGAGAGCAGCCCCGGCTCCGGCACGCTCAGCATCGCAGCGAGGGAACGAGGCTGGTTGTTCCCGGGGTGTTGTTTTTCCCCCCACATCGGGTTGCTCGCACTCGGGGTCCTCTGCGCCCCGCAGGAGGCTGCCCTTACCCCGAGGGGGGGTTCGCTCGTGGCTAAAATCTGCGTAGATTTTATAGAATCCTGCGCAGGTTCTACAGAATCGTTTTGGGTTTAGCTAAAATACCCTTTTCTGCATGATTTTATCTACATGGCTCAGTATCTGCTGCCGGAGTTGGGAGTCGGAGGCAACCGAGGAAACACCGCCTTTGAATTTAGGGCTGAGATGCTGGGAGCTGAAGCAGAGGTTTAAAACCCACGTGGCTCCGTAAGAAAAAAAAAAAAAAAAAACACCAAACAAACCAACCGAACAACAACAACAAAAAAAAACACCCCACAACAACAAAATAAAAATAGGCTCCATCCATCCTTCCTCCGACAGGCCTGCTCGGAAAGGCGGCCTTTTGCTTCTCCTCTTCCCAGGCTGAGTGAGGCCCGGGGAAAGTTTGGGCGAGTAAGTTTGCGGAGCCGGAGGGAGGGCGGCACAGATCGATTGGCGCGTTTAATAGGATCAGGTCAGTGTAATCCTGTTTCAGCCATTGTAATTCAGGCAGCCAAGGAGACCTCAAACTATAGGGGAAGGGGCTTTTAAAACCTCAGCGGTCCTGCCACAAAGCCAGAGGCTGGGGCAGGGACAAAAGCGGGAGAGAGGATGAAGTGGCTTGAAATAAATAGATTAAGGCTCTCTATGGGCCGGGCGTAGCGGGAGGGAGAAAAGAGCAAGCGAGGGGCGGGCGAGCGTCCCGCGGCCGCGGGAGGGGACAGAAGGGACTGGCACCCACGGGGGAACGCGGGCCGGCCGGGCAGAGCATCCCCTCCCGCCGTGGGGCGGCCGCGTCGGGGCGCGGGTAGGGGGGGTGGGGGGAGATCCCTCCAACCCTTTCCCCGATCCCCACCGCGCGAGTTTCCGAAGGCTCGGGATAGGCAATCAATTTTTACGATGCAATTTATAATTCATACAGGTTGTCTTCGTGCATATGGTGTTGCTTTTGTGCGTGTCAGGGTGCCGGGTGCTTTATGACGGTGACGGCGGGGATTTGCATTGGCGGCCGCTTCCCGGCCCCCTCGCTCTCCTCGGGCGGGGATGGAGATGGATAATGGATACGGCCCCATGGAAGCGCGCGGGGGGGGGCTGGATCACATAGGACAGCGACTCCTGAGGGGTGGGTGACTCTTCCAAGGGGGCAACCTTCCCCCATCGAGGATGCCCAGTCCTAGGCAGGGGTGTTCCCAGGGGGTGCAGATCCCCCTCGCCCCCCCCTCTCCAGACATTCGGGTCAGCCCCACTGCAGGGCATGCTCTGCAGGGAGGCTCTCGGGGGATAACCCCACCCGAGGGGGAGTTCGGCGCCCCCCGCCCCGGCACAAAAGGGTCCTTGTCGGCGGGGCAGCCACACCCCCGGGGGCAGGAGGGGCAGGTAAAGGCACAAAGCGCAGCCTGGCCAGTCCGAGCTGAAATAATTAAACCAATTAAGCCAGTACAAACAGAAACAAGGCGGAAGGCAGGGCTGTCCCCTCCGAGGAAGAGGAGCTCCCCCCGCCCGTCCTGCCGTGAGTTTGCCCGGTCTCTGCTGCAGCCCTGGCATGCGGTGAGTTTGCCGGGTCACTGCGGCGAGAGGGTGAGAGGAGGGGGGGATTTAAAAGCTGTGATGTCTTATTTAAGAGCGAGGCAGCGTCTTCCCAGCCCCGCTGGAGAGGGGCTGCCTCCTCCAGTCACCGCAGCCCAGTACCGTGAACAGCAATGGCTTAAAAAAAAAAAAAAATAAATCTGTATGTATTTAAAGAAGGGGGTTTTGCTAAGGCTGGCTGGAGCTGAGGAGCACAGGAGCAGGGCAGCTTTCCTTCCCCTACGACTCTGTGCTGTGCGAAGCGGGCCGGCATCGCTGCCGCCGCTCCCCGAGCACCGCAATTATTTGATCTGCAGATGTAAGAGGAATTTATTGTAACAACAAATATAGTGATGTCAAAACCCAACCTTGGATTAAAGCCGGCAGCCAAAGGGGAAGTGTATTAATTTCAAACAGCATCAGAGGCCAGTGCCTATTAGGACGAGCTATTCTTCAGACCCCCCCATCAGAATTAATCATTGGGAGTTAATTTGAAGCTCAGACAAGTTGCTGTTAATTTAGTGCAGGGAGGACGGGATGGAATAAAAAGCTGAGGTGCTGGCCGGGCCTCCTGGGTCTCATTAATCAGCGAGCTGAGACGGCCTGGCTTGATTACAATTTGCAAAAAAATTCATTAGAGCCTGGGCGATTGACAATTTTTCTCTCTGCCTGTGATCTGACTCATTAGGCAGCCAAATGAAAGCCATGATGATGGTGATGATGACAGCTATCAACCCCCTCGCTTGTTTATCTCCTTCTCCTCCGGCCCTCGGCCCGGGGCTCCCCCCTCCAGCCCCGAAGCCCCACTCCTGGGATAAGGAGGGGGCAATGGGGGACCCCAACCCGCGGAGTAAATAACTTTCCACTGCCTGGGGCAGATGCCGGCTTGTAGGGGGAGGGATGCCCGGGGGGGAGGGGGGGACAGGGTGAGGAGCAGCTGCTCCTCCCTAAAATGCAGCCCACCCCGCCCCCGTGGGGGGGTAACAGCGGGTGGGGGGGTGCGCCCCGTGGAGCGGGGTGGGGGGGAGGACACGGCAGCTCTACCGCCCGCCCGGGCCGGCTTCGGGCGCTGCGCTGGCCGAGCAGCGTCCCCTTCGCACCGAAAGCAAACCGAAATAAATTCAAATAGTGCCGTGAGAAAAAAAAAATTTTTTTTTAAAGCGCTCCGAAGAAGAGCAACGCTGGGAAAACCTCGTGGGGGGGGGGACACGGGTGGGCTTGCCCCACGCGCGTCCCGGCTCCCCGCTCCCTCCCGCGCAAAAACGAAACGAAAAATTGGGATTAATAATAGCGGGGTTTTTTTTAGAGCGGCGGGCAGTGGCGGCGGCTGCCGAAAAGGCTGGAATTGCCCGTGATTTTCCGCTAGTCCCCGCGCGTCCGCGGCTGCCCGTGGAGCCGCCTGCGATGCTGCCCGGGACCGGGCCGTTTTGGGGGGGCGGCTGGTGGGAATGGGGACTCCCACGCTGCACCCCCCCCCCCCCCCCCCCCCCCCCCCCCCCCCCCCCCCCCCCCCTCCCCCGGAGCCGCCGCCAACCCCCTCCGACCAGAACAAAATAATAACAATTATTGTAATAAATAAATGATGAAGCGCGAGGGCTACAAGTGACACGGCCCCGCCAAACGTGGGTTTGCTCACCGGAGCACGTCCCGGGAGCGAATGACACCCCCCCCACCACCACCCCCGGTTTAATTTTAATAGACTCCCCCGGAACCCCGTTTTCCTCGGGAAATTTTAATTCCAAATCGCCGCCACCGCCAATGACACGGTGTCACCGGCACGGATGC